CAGGTGTCCTGGCCTTCAGGCTTCGACTAGGTTTAGCAATGACCAGGTGTAGCCATAATGAGGAGGGCTGTGCATCTTTCTTAAAACTTTTGAATCGGCCGGGCGCGGTGGCTCAAGCCTGTAATCCCAGCACTTTGGGAGGTCGAGGCGGGTGGATCACGAGGTCAAGAGATCGAGACCATCCTGGTCAACATGGTGAAACCCCGTCTCTACTAAAAATACAAAAATTAGCTGGGCATGGTGGCGCGTGCCTGTAGTCCCAGCTACTAGGGAGGCTGAGGCAGGAAAATTGCTTGAACCCAGGAGGCAGAGGTTGCGGTGAGCCGAGATCATGCCATTGCACTCCAGCCTGGGTAAATAGCGAAACCCCGTCTCAAAAAAAAAAAAAAAAAAAAAAAAACCCTTTTGAATCATGCCTGGCTTTAAGTTACTGTCTTTCTGCAAACAAACAGGCCAGGCATGGTGACTGATGCCTGTAATCCCAGCTACTTGAGAGGCTGAGGCAGAAGGATCACTTCAGGCCAGGAGTTTGAGACCAGCCTGGACAACATAGCAAGACCTTGTTCCTACTAAAAACTAAAAAATTAAGTGGGCATAGTAGTGCATGTGTGCAGTCCCAGTTACTCAGGAGGCTAAGGCAGAAGGATTGCTTGAGCCCAGGAGTTCAAGTTTACAGTGAGTCATCATACAAATATTTTTAATATTTACAAAGATTAAAATGATAAAAATTATAATGATAAATCTCAATGTCTCAGCCTCTCAAGTAGCTGGGATTACAGGAGTCGACCACCATGTCCAGCCTGTTTGGGTGACAGAGCAAGACTCTGTCTCTAAAAATATTTTTTGAAAATGACACAAATATATATACACTTTTTTTTTTGCACTTAAAACGACTCTGTTTCAATGAAATACACTTTTTCCTTTTAAAAAAAAAAAAAAGTGAGGCTCTCCTTTGAAGAGTAATTGTTTCTTAAGCAGTGTGTGACTTAGTGTTTCTTCACATTCATAAGAAAATCTGGGCCGGGCTCGGTGGCTCAAGCCTGTCATCCCAGCACTTTGGGAGGCCGAGGCGGGTGGATCACGAGGTCAAGAGATCGAGACCATCCTAGCCAACATGGTGAAACCCCGTCTCTACTAAAACTACAAAAAAATTAGCTGGGCATGGTGGCACGTGCCTATAATCCCAGCTACTCAGGAGGCTGAGGCAAGAGAATTGCCTGAACCCAGGAGGCGGAGGTTGCGGTGAGCCGAGATCGCGCCATTGCACTCCAGCCTGGGTAACAAGAGCGATACTCCGTCTCAAAAAAAAAAAAAAAAAAAAAATCTGGCCATGATATCTAACAACATGGAGTTACTTCTGATTTTTATATTTGCTTCTCATTTAATCCCCAAAGCCAGAAAATCATTATACATACTCACATTTACCAGATGAATATCACGGTTTCTATCATACTCCTTGCTTTCTAACTTATTTCTGTAAGCACACGTTATATTGTATTATTATACATTATGTTAAAGTGGATACAGTATGATTGATTTTCTTGCTCTTGTAACATGATAAAATTGATACATTAATTATAACCTTATCATTTTAATCTTTACTTGACTGCATTTAGTAATCTATCTTACAAATACATTCTTTATTTATTGGCAGCTTCTATAATAATCCTGGAAATGTGTATTAGCACATTTATTTGAATTGAAAAATGAAGTCACCTGACAGAAAGTGAGTCTATTTGGCTTTCTTATTTGACAAGGGGGACTGGCTCTGCAAATCAGATATCAGATGCCGTATTTTTCCATGAGCTAAATATACAGTTAAAAGTTTAATAAAAATGTATTCATATTTAAAGAAGTAATAAAAACTTTTATTTAAAAAACACTTTATTGCAGCCGGGTGTGCCGGCTCAACCCTGTAATCCCAGCACTTTGGGAGGCCGAGGCAGGCAGATCAGTTGTCAAGAGTTCCAGACCAGCCTGGCCAACATGGCGAAATCCCATCTCTACTAAAAATATAAAAATTAGCTGGGTGTGGTGGCAGGCACCTGTAGTCCCAGGTACTTAGGAGGCTGAGGCAGGAGAATCGCTTGAACCTGAGAGATGGAGGTTGCAGTGAGTGGACATCACTCAACTCCACTCCAGCCTAGAGGACAGAGCAAGACTCTATCTCAAAAAAGAAAAAATTTTTATTGGCAAAGTTATCAATGAATTAACAATATTTTTATGTTCCTCAAACCTTTCTGAATATATTAGGTTAAATTTGATCCTTTTATATTAGCATATGAGCCTCAGAATTTTTTTTAAATTGAAGTACATACAGTGAAATGCAGAGTTGAATGAATTTTAACAAATGTATACACCTGTGTAACCATCACTCAAAATGAGATATAAAACATACTGCTGGAGAGTCCCCAGCCTGTAGGCAAACGCTGTTCTGATTTCCATCAACACAGATTAATTTTTGCCTGTTTTTGAATTCGTATCGATTCAGCATACAGTGTGTGCTTTTCTGTGTCTAGCTTCTTTCACTTAACACAGTGTTTTTGGGATGCATTCATGTTGTGTGTATGATTTTTAAAATTACTGAATTGCATTCTATTGTGTACATATACTACATTTGTTTATCACTCTCCTATTGATAGACAGCTGCTTGTTTCCAGTTTGGGGCTTAATGAATAAAGTGGCTGTAAACATTTGTATAGAAGTCTTTTTGGGTAGCTATGTTTTCATTTCTTTTCTCTCTCTCTCTTTTTTTTTAATTTTTATTTATTTATTTATTTATTTATTTTTTGAAACAGGGTCTCACTCTGTCACCCAGGCTGGAGTGCAGTGGCACAATCAGAGCTCAATGCAGCCATGAACTACTGGTATCAAGGTATCCTCCTGTCTTGGCCTCTCAAAATGTTGGGATTACAGGTGTGAGCCACTACAACTGGCTGTTTGCTTTCATGAAGGTCTGTTCAAGTCTTTGGACTATTTTTTTAAATTATTTATTTATTTATTTATTGAGACAGGGTTTCAATCTGTTGCCCAGGCTGGAGTGCAATAATACAGTCTCAGCTCACTGCAGTCTCCACTTTCTGGGCTCGGGTGATCCTCCCACCTCTGCCTCTCCAGTAGCTGGCTCTGCAGGCATGCACCACCACATCTGGCTAATTTTTGTATTTTTTGTAGAGATGCAGTCTCACCATGTCACCCAGGCTATTATGCATCTTTTTTTTTTTTTTTTCTTTTGAGACAAAGTCTCGCTGTTAGCACCCAGGCTGGAGTGCAGTGGCATGATCTCGGCTCACTGCAACCTCTGCCTCCCAGGTTCAAGCGATTCTTGCGCTTCGGCCTCCCAAGTAGCTGAAATTACAGGTTCCTGCCACCAGGCCCGACCAATTTTTCTGTATTTTTAGTAGAAACGGTATTTCACCATGTTGGTCAGGCTGGTCTCAAACTCCTGACCTCAGGTAATTGACCCACGTCAGCCTCCCAAAGTGCTAGGATTACAGGTGTAAGCTGCCCCGCCCAGCTTCATTACTCATTTTTTAAAATTTTTTATTTATTTGTTTTGCAGAGAGTCTCACTGTGTTGTCCAGGCTAGTCTTGAATTGCTGAGCTCAAACAATCCTCTTACTTCAGCTTCCCAAGTGGCTGGGATTATAGGCATGAGCCACTGTATGTAGCCTTTTGCTGGTTTTTAAAAATCAGGTTGTTTATTATTGCTTTGTAGTCATTATATATTCTGGATATAAGTCCTTTGTCAGCTGTATGGAATGCAAATATTCTCTTTCAGTCTGTGGCTTTTTATTTTTATTTTTATTTATTTATTTTTTTAAAGATGAAGTCTCCCTCTGCTGGCCAGGCTGGAGTACAGTGGCGTGATCTCAGCTCCCTGCAACCTCCAGCTCCTGGGTTCAAGCAGTTCTCCTGCCTCAGCCTCCTGAGTAGCTGGAATTACAGGCACCCACTACCATGACCAGATAATTTTTGTATTTTTAGGAAAGATGGGGTTTCACCATGTTGGCCAGGATGGTCTTGATCTCTTGACCTTGTGATCCACCCACCTCAGCCTCCCAAAGTGCTGGGATTACAGGCGTGAGCCACCATGCCTAACCAATATTATTATTTTTTTAAGTTTGGTTTTTTCTTTGTTTTTGAGATGGAGTTTCACTCTGTCACCCAGGCTGAAGTGCAGTGGCATGATCTCAGTTTACTGCAACCTCCACCTCCCTGGTTCAAGCAATTCTCCTGCCTCAGCCTCCTGAGTAGCTGGGATTACAGGCGTGCACCACCTGCATCTGGCTAATGTTTTTGTATTTTTAGTAGAGATGGGGTTTCACCATGTTGGCCAGACTGGCATTAACTTCTGACGCCAGGCAATCTGCCCGCCTGGGACTCCCAAAGTGCTAGAATTACAGGCGTGAGCCACGACGCCCGGCCTTAACTTTGATTTTTTTTTTTTTTTTTTTTGAGACAGGGTACCGCTTTGTCACCTAGGTTGGAACACAGTGGGGCAATCTCGGCTCACTGCAGCTTCAACCTCCTAAGCTCAAGCAATCCTCCCACCTCAGCCTCCCGAGTAACTGGGACTACAGCTGTATGCCAGCAAGCCCAGCTAATTTCTATATTTTTTTAATAGAGACAAGGTTTTGCTATGTTGCCCAGGCTGGTATTAAACTCCTGGGCTCAAGCAATCCTCCTGCCTGGGCTTCCCAAAGTGCTGGGATTATAGGCATAGCCCACTGTGCCCTGCCGTATTAGTTTTATATTTAGGTCTATGATTTATCTTGAATTAGTGTGAGGGATGTAAGGTAGATGTTGAAGTTCATTATTTCCATAAGGAAATCCAGTTATTCCAGCATCATTTGTTGAAAAACATCTTTGTCCATTGTCTTGCCTTGGTAGCTTGGTCAAAAATCTATTGACTAAATAAATCCAAACTACTGGGGAAAGGGAGGGCCCACTGAGAACTATCCCAGCAACCCGACCACAGCTGGTCTTCCCTGGACACCATGAACCACACTGTCCACACCGTCTTCACTCCCACCAACACCGACCGTCCCCTCAGCTACGAGATGATCACGGAAGAGCATGAGGTGGCTGCACTAGAGGCGCTACATAGCCCGGCTCCCCTGACATCCACCGTGAGCCACATCTGCAGTGAGACCTCCACGTCCGACCACGTCATCGGGTCCCCATTCAACACCCTCTTCATGAACTCCCGCTGCCTGGACTTCAGAGCGTTCACCTACTCCGTGAAGTCTAGGGACAGTAAGATGGTTGGCGACCTGACCAGGGCCCAGGCCTATGCCTCCACCGCCAAGTACCTGAACATCTGGGCTCTGATTTTGGGCATCATCATGGCCATTCTGCTGATCATCATCCCAGTATTGATCTTGCAAGTCTGTGGACAGATCAAGAGGCATCATCCCGGTCGGGAGCTCTGCCCGTGACCTGATTCCCACGTGCTCCACCTTCCACTCCTCACCCTGTCCCAAGCTGAGCCCTGTGTCAGCGCTCTATCCTCACATGCTTTTCTACAATGGCATTCAATAAAGTGCACATGTTTCAAAAAAAGAAATCTATTGACCATTTATGTGGATTTATTTCTAGACTTGCTATTCTGTTTCCCTATTCAACTCATCTATTCTTCTGTCTACCCCACATTGTCTTGATTACTTTAGCTTTAAAATGACTCTTGAAATCAAGTGTAGTCATGAAATTAGCTATTGCAAATCATCCATTTTGTTATTTTTTTCCAAAATATTTTATTTTTGGCCTTCTAAGTCACTTGCAGTTATATTTACATTTTGGCACCAATTTGTCAGCTTCCATGTTTTAAAACATACGAGACACGTTTAAAAACATATGTTGGGATTTTGACTCAGCTTTTGCTGTGTAACAACACACATTCCCTTTGCTCCACCTCTGTGCATTAGCTGGTGGTTGGCTGATGCAGCTGCATGTGGCTGAGAGGCTCTGCCTCCAGATGAACCTGGCTTCAGATTCCCTCAGGGACCAGGCTGAGGAGGATGCAGGGAGGAAGGCCACCTGGCTGGGAGCAACCCTGCCACCAGATGGGGCACCTGCATGTCAGCCTCTGAAGGCCACCCTGTTGACCAACAATAGTCATGTGGTTGAGCTCAGCGCCACTGGGATGAGAAATCAACCGCAAGGGCCAAGAGGGCGATGACTTTTGGACAGAAACCTCATCTACCACACCTTTCTGCAGACACTCGGACTCAATTAGGGTCGCAAATGATCCTTTTGGAAGCCAGGTGACTTCAGTCGTAGCTTCCATCGCCCTAAGGCAGGACAGCCGAGTTACCAGCGATGGGTCGGAGAGCACCACTCGAGTTTTGGAGGATAGCCTGGGAGGGGTCAGAGCGCTGAGTCCCTGTAAAAGAATTTCCTTCCATTCTCCTCATGGGATGGACGGTCGGCGGCTGTAAGCACTGCCGTTCACAAACAAGGGGAACACAAAAAGAATCGTTGAAGAGCCCTCGGTCCAGCAACGGGGCCATCCAGTCCTTCCTGAATCTGGGAATTAAGAAAAGAAAGAGCTGGGTGCGGTGGCTCAAGCCTGTAATCCCAGCACTTTGGGAGGCCGAGGCGGGTGGATCACAAGGTCAAGAGATTGAGACCATCCTGGTCAACATGGTGAAACCCCGTCTCTACTAAAAATACAAAACATTAGCTGGGCATGGTGGCGCGTGCCTGTAATCCTAGCTACTCAGGAGGCTGAGGCAGGAGAATTGCCTGAACCCAGGAGGCGGAGGTTGCAGTGAGCCGAGATCGCGCCATTGCACTCCAGCCTGGGTAACGAGTGAAACTCCATCTCAAAAAAAAAAAAAAAAAAAAAGAAAAGAAAAGAAAAAAGAGCTACTTTTCCCCTCAAGAGATGTACTTTCCTTTCTTCTGTGTGAGAGCTTAGAAGAAGAAAAAAGAGAGATGTACTTCCCACAAACATGTATGACTAATGATAATTCACGACTAATTATTATTATTCTAACTTTGTGACATATTTGTGTTTGATTAGTTGTGTTCCCACAATTATAATGATAAACAAACCCAAAAGAATTTTTTCTAACACTAAGTATCACAGGAAATAAAAATTTAAGATTTCCATTTATACATACCTTTTTGTTGTACAGAAGTATAGCAGAATCAGTAAGATTTTCAAACATAAAATTATTTCCTTAGGATACACATATGTGGAAGAACTAAAGTGGAAAGTGATTCTGTGAGGAAAAGAACGCTGTGAAATACAAAAGAAGAGGTGGCTCATGTCCGGTCAGCCCTACATGTCCTCAGAGTCAACCAACTGTGTATGGAAAATGCAGTCAGGCCTATGATGGTGGTCTCTGGACTGAAGGCGTACAGATATTTTGCTTATTATTTTCTAAACAATACGGTATGATTACTACATGGCATTTACATTTTGTTAGATATTAGAAGTAATCTAGGCCAAGGGGCAGTGGCTCACGCCTGTAATCCCAGCACTTTGGGAGGCCGAGGCGGGCAGATCACGAGGTCCAGAGATTGAGACCATCCCGGCCAACATGGTAAAACCCTGTCTCTACTAAAAATACAAAAATCAGCTGGGCGTGGTGAGGCGTGCCTGTAATCCCAGCTACTTGGGAGACTGAGGCAGGAGAATTGCTTGAACCCAGGAGGCAGAAGTTGCAGTGAGGCAAGATCGCACCGCTGTACTCCAGCCTGAGTGACAGAGCGAGACTGCCTCAAAAAAAACAAATAATGAGGATGTGGGTAGGCTACATGCACAGACTGCACCATTTTACATCAGGGACTTGAGCTGTGCATTTTAGTGTCCATCGGGGGTCCTGGAACCGATCCCCCACAGATACAGAGGGACAACTACACTGTTTTGAATGGATTATATAGGATATCAAATCAATATAGTATTTTTCTGTTCCATCTGGTTACATTTTTAAAAGCGGTATGACAGTTTTATTGTGAAGTGTCAATATTTACAATGTTCCAGAAGTTGTATTCTTTGTAACTATTTAAACTTACATAATATTTTAGGTGTCAACTGAATGTGTAAGGGGGGTAAAAAAAATGTTTAAAATGACATTTGGGGGTATGTAAACAAAACTGTTTGAAGACAGCCGAAGTCGAATGCATTCAGTGAACGATGGAGTCAGAAGAAACCGGGAGATGGGCTGCAGACTCTCTGGGGTGATCATGCACTGTACCTGCCAGGACCATCCTGCTGGGTTTCAAACTCGGCTGTGGGATCCCTCTGCCTCGGTTTCTCATCTTAGGATGAGGGTGAGTGCTCCAAAGCTTGAATGAGTAAATGCTCCTGCGGTGCCTAGAACAGGTTCTGGGGCCAGGGAAGTGCACTGTGCCAGTGTCTGCCTTTTTATGGAAATGCATTTCTTAGGAGGCAGTGCAGGATCCCATGGACTATTAGGTAATCTTCCCATGGACCCATGCCTAGTTCTTCTGCTTCAAGAAACACAGAACAAGACTTTTCCCTTCTCTATATGTGAGCCCAGTAAGAGGATATTGGCCGGGCACAGTGGCTCACGCCTGTAATCCCAGCACTTTGGGAGGCCAAGGTCGGCAGATCACGAGGTCAGGAGATCGAGACCATTCTGGCCAACAGGGTGAAACCCCGTCTCTGCTAAAATACAAAAAATTAGTCAGGCATGGTGGCATGCACCTGTAATCCCAGCTACTCAGGAGGCTGGGGCAGGGGAATCACTTGAGCCCAGGAGGCAGAGGTTGCAGTGACCTGAGATCATGCCACTGCACATACCAGACTGGTGATAGAACAAGACTCCATCTCAAAAAAAAAAAAAAAAATGTGTGTCTGTCCACTTTGGGCTGCTATAACAAAATACCATAGACTGGGTGGCTTACGGGCAACAGAAATTTATTTCTCATAGTTCTGGAGCCTGCGAAGTCCAAGTCCAAGGTGCCTGCAGATTCAGTGTCTGGTGACGGCCTTCTTCCTGGTCCACAGATGACAGCTTCTCCCTGTATCCTTATATGGCAGAAGGGGCAAGGCAGTTCTCTGAGGCCTCTTTTTTTGATTTTTATTCCTTTTAGAAATAGAATCTTGCGCCGGGTGCAGTGGCTCAAGCCTGTAATCCCAGCACTTTGGGAGGCCGAGGCAGGTGGATCACGAGGTCAAGAGATCGAGACCATCCTGGTCAACTTGGTGAAACCCCGTGTCTACTAAAAATACAAAAAATTAGCTGGGCATGATGGCTCATGCCTGTAATCCCAGCTACTCAGGAGGCTGAGGCAGGAGAATTGCCTGAACCCAGGAGGCGGAGGTTGCGGTGAGCTGAGATCGCGCCATTGCACTCCAGCCTGGGTAACAAGAGCGAAACTCCGTCTCAAAGAAAAGAAAAGAAAAGAAAAGAAAAGAATAGAATCTTGCACTGTCACCCAGGCTGGAGTACAGTGGCATAGTCATAGCTTATTATAACCTTGAACTCCTGGGCTCAAGAGATCTTCCCACCTCAGCATCCCAAGTAGCTGAAACTACAGGTGCACACCACTGCAATGGGCTAATTTTTTTTTTTTCCCCAAGATGGAGTCTCCCTCTGTCACCCAGGCTGGAATGCAGTGGCGCAATCTTGGCTCACTGCAATCTCTGCTTCCTGGGTTCAAGCAATTCTCTTGCCTCAGCCCCACAAGTAGCTGAGATTACAGGCCCGCACCACCACACCCGGTGGTTTTTTGTATTTTTAGTAGAGACATGGTTTCACCATGTTGGCCAGGCTGGTCTTGAACTCCTGACATCAGGCGATCTGCCCCCGCTGCCGCCCTTGGCCTCCCAAAGTGCTGGGATTACAGGTGTGAGCCACTGCATCCGGTCGGCTAATTATTTTTTTTAAGACAGAGTCTTGGCTGTGCTTAGTGGCTTATGCCTGTAATCCCAGCATCTGGGAGGCTGAGGCAGGTGGATCACTTGAGGCCAGGAGTTTGAGACCAACCTAGGCAACATGGTGAAACCCCGTCTCTACCAAAAATACAAAAATTAGCCAGGTGTGGTGGTGCACTCAGGTACGTGGGAGGCTGAGACATGAGAATCGCTTGGGCCTAGGAGGCAGAGGTTGCAGTGAGCCAAGATCGCACCACTGTACTCCAGTGTGGGTGACAGAGGGAGAATATGTCTTAAAAAAAAAAAAAGATGGAGTCTCAAATTGTTGCCCAGGCTGGTCTCAAACTCCTGTGCTCAAGTGATTCTCCCACCTTGGCCTCTTGAGTAGCTGGGATTACAGGTGCCAGCCACTGCACCAGGCAAAGAGGGCCTCTTATTTATTTTTTTGAGAAAGGGTCCTGCTCTGTCACCCAGGCTGGGGTGCAATGGCAAGATCTAAGCTCACTGCAACCTCTGCCTCCTAGGCCCAAGCAATTCTCCCACCTCAGCCTCCTGGGTAGCCGCGAATATAGGTGGGCGCCACCATGCCTGGCTAATTTTTGTATTTTTTGTAGAGATGGGATCTTGCCACGTTGGTCAGGCTGGCCCCAAACTCCTCAGCTCAAATGATCCACTAACAGGGCTTCTTTTATAAGGGCACTACTCTCAATTGTGAGGGCTCCCTTCTCATGATCTAATCACCTCCTAAGGGCCCCACCTAATACCATCACCTTTCATGTTAAGATTTCAAAATATGCACTTTGTGGTGGGAAACAAACATTTAGATGACGGCAAAAAAGTTTTAACTTTTTTCTTTTCTTATTTTCTAGGGTTTTTTTTTTGAGACGGTCTCACTGTTGGCCAGGCCGAAGTATAGTGGCGGGATCACAGCTCACTGCTGCCTTCACATCCCACGCTCAAGCCATCCTCCCGCCTCAGCCTCCCAGTTAGCTGAGACTACAGGTACGTGCCACTGTGCCCAGCCTCATTCTATTTAAATTTGATTTTTAGGCCAGGCCTGGTGGCTCATGCCTGTAATCCCAGCACTTTGGGAGGCCAAGGCATGTGTGGATCGCTCGAGGCCGGGAATTAGAGACCAGCCTGGCTATCATGGCACAACCCTGTTGCTACTAAAAATACAAAAATTAGTCAGGCATGGTTGTGCATGCCTGTAATCCCAGCTACTTGGTAGGCTGAGGAATGAGAATCGCTTGAACCTGGGAGGTAGAGGTTGCTGTAAGCCGAGATTGTGCCATCACACTCCAGCCTAGGTGACAGAGTAAGACTCTGCCTCAAAAATAAATAAATTTTGGCCGGGCACGGTGGCTCACGCCTGTAATCCCAGCACTTTGGAAGGCCGAGGCAGGTGGATCACGAGGTCAAGAGATCGAGACCATCCTGGTCAACATGGTGAAAACCCGTCTCTACTAAAAATACAAAAATTAGGTGGGCATGGTGGCGTGTGCCTGTAATCCCAGCTACTCAGGAGGCTGAGGCAGGAGAATTGCTTGAGCCCCCAGGAGGCGGAGGTTGCGGTGAGCCGAGATC